TTGTTTTTTCTCTCTCTCTCTCTCTCTATCTATCTATCTATCTATCTCTCTCTATTTATCTCTCTCTTTTATATTTTTACAATTTCATTAGCAATTTATTAAACGTTTGATTGTGCAAATTGATTAGAATTGAAAGATCCTTTTAGTGTTTAAATCACTTTGATTATGATCTTACAATCTCTTTGATTGTAAGAGGTTTAATACCAACAAAGTTCAAAGGAAATTATGAAAAATCAAACAGCATTCTAAGTGTTCGATAAATTGTCTAAATAAGCTTCACCATTAACTTCATTTAAAATTAAGCAATTTGTTAAATTCTTTGATTGTGTATTTAATTCGTATGGAATCATCATTTGATTATTTAACAACTTTATTGATCACATTGCAATCACTTTTGATTGTGAGAAGTAAATCATATCACCAAAGTTCAAAGGAAAATCTGAAAAATTAAGTGCACACCAAGTGTTCGATAAATTGTTTTAATGCGGATGTGTTGACATATAGACTTATAAAATCCAGCATGTGCCAACTTGAAAATCGTATGTACCGACACATAGAGTTAAGAACAGTATGTGCCAACTTGAAATGAGTTATGTTCCGACACATGCAAAATAGAAGCTACAATCTTTAATGTTGAAGTACATGTGTCAGAGTGAAAATCGTATGTGCCGACATATGAGACTGATTTTGTGCAGAAACTGATTTTTCATGATTTTGGCCAATTTCAAACTTGTTTTGAATGCTTCCTAAGACCTCTAATGCAAGGGTGGACCAAATGACACATATATATTGTCCAATATACATAAATGCTAAATTTTCCTAATTTTGACATCATGCAAAACATCTAATGACGAAGTTGCACTCACATGTGTTTATTTTAGGTACTTAGCAGTTGGAGGCTTCCACGCGATAAAACAGTGAGAAATGAGAAAAATGGGAAAATGTAAGAATTATACTATCATGATTGTCACTTTTATGTCATAACGGTCGCCAGCCCCCCCAAGGGAGTCAACCCTTCATCAAAAGTCAATAAAATAAAAAAGAAATGCCTGAGCAAGCTGCCAGTCTTCCCGTCAACAAGAAGACGGTCATCATGACGTTGTAGTCCAGTTTTTTTCCCTCTACGTAGGATTCAATTTTTCTAACTCCTCCACTTTCTCAATCACTTTTACACGACTCTAATAACTTCATGTACGAGTATTAGTCTATAAATAGGTGTTTAGAGGTCGTTTTTAGGCATCCAAGCTTATTTGGAAGTAGAAATTTTATATTGTAAAAGTGATAATTGCTCACATTGACTGGTTATTGCAACATTAGAATTACATTTTGCAACGACAATTGTTTTGTAATTTTTTGTTTCTGCTACATTAATCCTGCAAACATTATTTTCCAGTTCTTTATTTCCAACTTTTATACCAGATTAAAGTCTCCATTTGGAGCACTCTTTAGTATATTCAAGTCTACTTTTTATGCTATTTTCAGGTTCTTTCTATTTGCATTATTTACTTGTTGTTATGAATATGTATGCAGTGAATAAATTTTGTCTGCTCATTATTTTAACCATGTGAGCTTAAATCAGCTGAGTCAAAAGGCGAGTACCATCGTATCGATGGTACTCTAATAAGTCATAAAATTATGTTTATAATGAGAGTTGCTTTTATATCTGAAAAATTCTGGGTTTTATGATTAAAGTTTGTTGCAAAATAAAAAACATAGTGATACCGGTTTCAAATCAAAAGAGTGAAACCTGTATCTGACTGTAGGAATTTCATAAATTAATTTTAAATTACAACGAAATTTCTTTTTAATTAATTTGGGAAAATCTGATTTTCAAAAAGGTGATTTTTACTAATAAACGAACACGCAAAAGCAGACATTTATAAGTCTAAAAATCTTGTACCGAATACGTGAAAGCAAAAAATATCTTTAAATTATTCTTTTAAAGTAAAAGAAACTTTTTAAGTAAACAAAAGTGAATATTTTCCAAACGGGATTTTGAAGTTGTAACGTGTACACGCGAAAGCGGACAATTAGATTACAAAGTCAAAATCGGGTGTCGTACACATGAAAGCGGGTGACACCTCCAATTTAATGCTTGTCCACAAGAAAATAATTTCTTGTTATAATTATAAGATACGACTTTGTGAGTACTAATGGTTGAAGAGAGCTGCATTCCATTCTCTCGTTATAATTAATTTCAAAAAACTAGTTTATTTTCCGATTATGCAAACAAACCCATCCGCGTTGCCTTAGATAAACATCGTCATAGTAGATAATGATACTTGTCAGTTGGTATCTGTGAGATTCAATACCTTTTATACTAAAACCGATAAATCCACGCACTTGAGGGCATATCAATAACATCAGGTATCTAGGAGAATATGTTATATATCAACCTTATAGAATCACCATCGATCAACATAAACCAATAACACCAGAAATAAACAAAGGTAAAGACTTTTGTACTGCTATTGGCCAAGAAAAAGAATAGGGTTACCAAACCAATTAGAGAAAGCACAAGGGATAGTCACATGCCTAACCTGGAACAAATTTCAAGCAAGGAAGATTCTCTTATCTTCCATCTCATCCACAGATGTATACTTACTTGTAAATACCATATCATTCTGGGATTTCCAAAGCGACTGAACTATTATGTGCCATACTAATAAGAAACCCCATTTTTTCCTACGAACATCACACAATGAAACAAACAACTCAAAAAGAGAATCAACATCCTTTGGAAGGAATAAACACCACCATAACCATCTAAATTTTGTATCCCATACAGAGGTTGTTAACTCAAAGTTAACAAACAAATGGGAACAAAACTCACCCCTCACACATATGACACCACACACTCTTGACATCCACAATAACCTATGGTATAAAGAATAACCCTAGTAGAGATCTTATTCTATAAGAGTTTTTAAGAAAATACCACCACTTTAGAAAGATCCCAACTATCCCAAATTAGTGATAAAAGTAAACCCACTATCGAGGAAGGGTAGCTAGATAAGGGGTGCTTGTTAACAAGAGAAGAATAAGACGAAGAACTAAAAACACTACATCTTTGACATGAATACACCGCCACAGGTCAGGATCTTGAGATTGAATCACTTCTTGAAAAAATGAAAAGATTATTGACCATTTCCTGCTCGTACTAAAAAATAGACCTCCTCCATTTGAGGTACCAATGAAGCATCTCATTCACCGGATTTCAATATCAAAAATAAACTTACCAATTTGACTGAAAACACTATAAAACCTCGGAAACCTAGCCCTAAGAGGAGTATACCCCGCCCAAGAGTCATATGAAATGAACATTTGAAGAACATTACCTACTCTCCTACGAAAGTCCTCCACAAATCCATCAAAATGATCATCTACTTTAGAAAAAAGAATAGGGATGGCAATAAAACCAACCAACTTAAAAATAGTTTGGAACTCGGTTCGATAAATAAATCGTCGAACTAGGTTCCTGAATCAAATGAACTGAATATGAACGAAAATTAAGTTCGTTAACTAAATAAGTTGAACTTGAACTATACATAGTTCGACTCGTTAGGTTCATGAGTCAACTCTATTATATATGAGAAAAATTATATTATCTTTACGAGTATGTTTAAAGATTTATTCCAAATCTTAGCCCTATATTTTCTTTTAATCTAACTATTTTAATTGATAATTTATATTCTCAAGTGAGCAAAATATTTCTAAAAGTAATTACACAAATAAAATCAACATCATATAAATTATGTAATTTTTGAATTAGGAGATTTTTGAGATAGTTAAATTTCAATATGATAATTTTTATTTTATTTCAATATTTTCTTTTAAAAATATTAATTTAAAATGTCAAATATATAAAAATATATATATACTTAAAAAATTGGTTTTTAAGTCAGTGAAATAAGTGAGCTAAAATTAAAGAGATGAACCTAACGAGTCAGACTGAGTTATTTGTGACTTATAATGAGTCATGTTTGAGCTTAAAAAAATAGTTCGTGTCGAACTCAAACCGAGATTTAAGCTGAACGAATTCTTAACAAGTCGAGCCGAACTAACACGAGTTCGACCTAACTCGACTCCTTTTCAATCCTAATAAAGACACATATATCCACCAAATAGAAAATGATCGAGAATAAAAGACTCAACTTGAAATCGAGTGTTATCCTTCCCACGTAGCACCTAAATCCTATACCACAATATTGCACCACTTCACATATAAATTTCTATCATTATTTCAACTTGTTTTTAAGTAGAAAAGACTAAACTCAAAAATTATGACTAACTTACAAATATATTTATAATTAGTGCCAAACACCATCAATTAAGATTAAATATAAGAAATTGGTGTAAATGATGCCAAAATTGATATTGATGCAACAACCGCAACATTCTTAAGGTAAAAAAATACCATATATAAGAGTTAGAGAAGTCATATGAGCACCCTTACCCTTTAAAATATGCATGAATAAATAAAATGGGTAATACAAGTGTATTTGCACACAGTATGAGTTGTAATCCTTTAAACCATTTAGTGGGTGACACATCAGAAAGAACCATGGTGGCCCCAACTAGTATTTTGTGTATGTATACTAGTAATAGCAATAGTTACTTCGTAGGACGGGGTGTATATGTTGAAATGGTTTAAACCAAATAAGGTAAAAGATTGCAATAGGGTAATAAAAGTATATGGATAGTGTGTTAAAAGTGAGTAACGTTAGAGATCATGAATGAACAACTAGTGTATATACTTTAATTGCTCTAAAATTAAAGGCACATTTCACATTTTCTTTTGCAACTTGACCTAGCTCAACTAATATAAACTTTATAGCACTATAAATACACCATATTATATGCATATCGACTCGTGCAATTTAGAGAGAGAAACAAAGAGCTACCTTCAACTAAGGGTTTTCACTTTGAGAAAGAAAGAGAGTGACAATTATTTTTTAATATTCCAAACTATTCAATAGTTTTTTACTTAGATTCAAGAAATGGCCATGCATCGTGAAACTTGGGCTTTTGTCTTTGGCCTTCTAGGTATATACTATAGATATACTGTGGATATATCTATAGCCCTAATCCATGCATATTCATTATAATTTTATTTTTCTCATTCTTCATTAATAATATTAATTATGCTTGTTGGAACTATGCATAGCAAAATTGATATACTATTATTTTTTAGGGTATAAATTTTTATTAACTATATATATTTATATAGGTAACATGCAGATTGCATGGTGATATAGCAAATGTTTCATTTCAGCCTAAATATTAATTTTTTTTGTCTTTTTATTGTCGTTTTTATAGGCAACATCATTTCCTTTGCAGTGTTTCTTTCACCAGTGTAAGTAATCATTCTTTTTTGTTTTTGTTTTTTTGTATATTAATTAGTCAAAGGTTTGAAGTAACAATTTCTTAAACATTCTTTTTTGTGCAGACCAACTTTTTACATAATCTTCAAGAAGAAATCTGCTGAAGGATTTCAGTCACTTCCTTATGTTGTTGCACTTTTCAGTGCAATGCTTTGGATATACTATGCATTTGTCAAAAGAGAAGCTGCTCTTCTTCTCATCACCATTAACACTTTTGGAATTATTGTTGAATCAGCTTATCTCATAATTTTCCTGATTTATGCCTCAAAGAAATCTAGGGTATATTTATTTTTTTATTTAACCTCATAAGTATTATATAAAAAAAATTTAAATTGTTATAATTGTTTTTTATTTTCTTATAGCTTTCTACCATAAAACTACTTCTCTTGCTGAATGTGTTTGGATTTGGAGCCATGCTTCTATCAACTCTTTACCTTGCCAAGGGAGCGAAACGTCTCGCTATTATCGGCTGGATTTGTCTTGTGTTCAACATCAGTGTCTTCGCTGCACCTCTCTTCGTCATCGTAAGAATTCGAAGATATGAAATTATTTTCGCGTACAATAAATAAAATTTTAGGGTATCGATTAAATTTTGACGATCTTTTCGTGCAGAGCAAAGTCATAAGGACGAGGAGCGTCGAATACATGCCATTTTTCTTGTCCTTCTTTTTAACCATCAATGCTGTTATGTGGTTCTTCTATGGCCTTCTCCTCAAGGACTACTATGTTGCTGTAAGTTCATTGTTTTTTTATTTCACTTTTCCAATTTTGATTTTATTTTTTTGAAAAAACATCACTTTAACTTTATATTTGATAATGTTGAAATATACTTTTAGAAAAATATACTAAATATTTTTGTGCTCCATTAATATGGAGTTTCCATGAAAAGAAATTTTGAGTGCTATCTGGACCCCCCCTCCAACCCCAATAATTTAATTACAAAACTTTACATATAGGAAAAGCTAAGTTATAAATTAATTGATTCTTTTCTTCTTTTGGATATCTAAACAAAAGTATTTGATTTTATTTTATTTGATTAAATAATTTATTATAAGTATTTAATTAATGTTTGTATTTGGATGATGCAGCTACCAAATACACTTGGATTTGTGTTTGGAATAATTCAGATGGTGATATATTTGATATATAGAAATGCAACACCAGTGCTACAGGCACCATTGAAGGGTCAAGAACTGAGTGGTGGCCATATCATTGATGTTGTGAAGACTGGATCTGAACACAATCCTGGAGGTGGAGGAGGTGCTGTTAGCAAATTCTGATTAAGGGATCCATGATCAAGAAAAATAAACAATTGAAGAAAAAAAATACTTAACCTAAACTTTCAATTTCATATAATATTGTAAAATGCAAGAAGGGTGTCTAGTTTCTTGTATAAGTGTTTAGTTTTCATTATTATTATTAATTAATGTAAAGGTGTGGTTTTAATTTGGTGTAATTGGTTATGGCCATGAAAGCAATTATATAACAATATTCCTAAGCTTTGGCCATATATTATAACTCTAATAAATAATTTCAAGTTCACTTTTCCTTGTATGATCAATGTTCCAATATTAATGAAAATGAATTGTTTTAGTATTTTTTTTTTGTATAGTACTATACAAAGATATAATTGGTTGCTACACTTTCACAATTTGATTTTTATAATTTAGTTATTGATATATTCATGGCAAATTATAACTACTACAATTAGTTTATGGATTTTTAAAATAAGAGACTTGTTGAATTGTCCAACTTACTCAAATACCTAAAATGAATTTTATTGAGAAAATTACAAAATATAAAATCAAAGATGTTCTAAATAAAATTTTAAAGAAATTTAAAATGCAATTTATAGACAGTTAGATATATTTTTATGAATAATGCTAATGTTAAGAAATCTATAATTGGAAAACTTAGGTAAAATATAAAAAGTTTGTGTTTTAAAATTGTGCATTGATTTAATTGAAATTTTATAATAAATTTCTTTATTTATTTTTTCAACACAAATATTTTATTTATGATTTTTTAATATATACGTTATAGGACACAAATTAAGTTCTGAATATGAAAAAATCGAAAATTGATTTAAAAAAAAAATTCTTTGAAATTCTAAAAAAAAAAAACTCATTAACTAATTATAATTAAGTGCTTAAGTTTTTCTATTCTCACCGAAAAATTAAATGTCAATTATGGTAGAATGATTAAATCATGTATAGTTTAATGTATAGGAAAAGCAAATCCATGATATGAATTATGTGAAGGGATGGGTTCACTTTGCTTTTTAAATGTGTCATATACAAGGGGACAGATAAGCCCTCCCTAAAAGTGCTTCATTATAAAATCAATTAATGTTCATTTTGATAACGGCATCGTTCTAATTACAAGACAAAAATACCGGACACTAAACATGATTAAAGGATACTAATCTAATCTAGTCAAATTCCATTCCATCACAAAAGGGAAAGTGTTAAGATAATGCATGCAATACCAATAATTAGAAATTAATTAATATATACAACATTTGGATTAGAACGTAATTATATTATGAACAAGATATTGACTCTTAATATAAATTTATTTACGAAAATTTTCTCAAAATATCAACCATATGTGACATATAAACCAAAGTCAAAACAGAATAAAAGTGCTGAAACGTGAAAATTAATTGCTAAATGCCAAGGAACCTACATGTCTATTTGTCTTTTCTACTTTCTATTGCAATTTTTTTATTATATTTAAAAGCACTTTTTCTTCATTTTCACTAGTGTCTCAACTACCAGGTACAATAGTTTGTTCTAACTGAAATAGTAACTGTTTCCGGATAGTGATTTGAGCAATTTTTTTTTTAATGACAGGTTGAGTAATTATTAATTGTACATGTTTTATATATTAACTAGGTGCATGTGCAAGAAAGTTACATATATTATTTGTTTTAGGTATGATATAGGAATATAGGTTTCATAAATTTGGAAAACATTGTTTTTTTTTTTTTTACTTTTAAATTGTGTTTGATAATTATATAAATACTATTTAAAATAAATAATTGTGTTTTCTAAGGTGGTTTTGATTTTTCGGTTTTATTTTTCTGTATTTTTAGTGGTCAATTGTTTTCTATGATCCTGTGTACTCTTAAGTATTCTTGAAGCTATCTATAATATTTTTCCGAATTTGTTAATAATATTTTCGACTAAAAACAATTTTAGGAAATTTTTAATATGGTAAAATTGTTTTTTGTTTTTGTTTTAATTTATAAATAATCATTTTCAATCACTATTTTATTTCCTCTTTATCACAATGATTTATTCAACTTTTAAAATTCGTTTTTTCTTTTGGTTTCTATTTTACTAGGTTTTTTTCCTGCATTTTAAGTGGTCAATTGTTTTCTTTGATCCTGTGTACTCTTGGTATTCTTGAAGCTATCTGTACTGTTTTTCCAAATTTGTTAATAATATTTTGCTACTAAAAAACAAATTTATGAAATTTTTAATATGGTAAAATTTCTGGAAAAAATTGTTTCTGTTTTTTTTTTTATATAATAATTTTCAATTAGTATTTTATTTACTCTTTATCACAATCATTCATTTATGAAAAAAAATCTCATGCTTTTTCATTAGTAAGATAAAACAAATACATTTAAATTTTTTTTTCCATAAAATAAAGGAAACTTTATTATTGTACATATTTTAAATCAATATAATAAAATTGAATAATTATTCAGGTAGATAGATATTTTGTTTCAAATGAAATGAAACCCCACCACTTGAACAATTAAAATAAAACCCACCAGTTAGTGTTTTGTGGTAACCAAAATTGCATGGTAGACACAACGTACGTCTCAAAATAAAAGGTTATTAGTATATAGAAAGAGCAAAAAGACGACAAAAGTTAGCTAAGATTTGCGTATTATTTTATTATATATAGTTTTACTTTTTTTTCTATCAACTCTTCCATAGAGAGAAAAAGCTTAATGAACCTTTTATGTATGTGTTGTTAATTCATTTTGTGGCTTTTTAATCAAATTATTTATGAATGATTTGTTCTAAATGGTTCATAATATTTTGGAAGATAATAATAAAAATAAATGGAATTAATACAAGGGAAAGGGTAGGCAAGAGGAAAATGCACTAACTAAAAAACGTGATATTACGAAATAATGGGCCAACGCATTATTAAGATTGATGAGTATGAGTGTGAAGATAAGCATTTGAAGGCTTTACGCAAATAAGTGAGCCAAATTGTTGTTCTAAAAGTTGGCTATGCATGATTGTGCTGAAAGATAACAACATGTTGCCATGCATGCACAATACTTGGTTGGCTTGTTTCCATCTTAATTCAATCCTATAACGGATGTGCCACCATGCATATAGCTAGGTAGATAAGGGATGATGCAATACACCACTTCTTATAGGGTGTTGTACTTTAAAAAAATTCTCTATGTCAGGTTAATTATTTAGTACATTAATTAATTGAAGAATTTGGATATTATTGATTTGGATTGTACTATGATATGGATGACTATTCTTTAGGGGATTCTGGATAGGGGTGTAATACGGATGAATTGAATGCATATGGGTTGCATTCTCAATGAATGAATCAATAATTTAGAGTTAAATACGTTTTTAATCGCTATAAGTATGTCATCTGGAATTTTCGTCTCTTTAATTTTTTTATTTTAAATAATGATCATCACAGATTCTTTCATTCACAATTTTAGTCACTGTCATCTATTTTTATTAACGGAAGCTGATGTGGCATGCCACATCTGAAAAATATTTGAAATTGCGAGAGTTTTAAACCTCCTCTAAACTAAATAAAAATAAATAAAAAATTAGTTCTGAATTTTTCTCAAACACCTTGCAAACCATCAACAACAATATTAACTTCATTCTCTTTCTCTCTTTCTACTTCATAATCATCATCAATAATCATGTTCAGTCTCTCTTATTTTTCACCCCGTCTCTTTCTTTTCAGGTTCTACAAACATAAACAAAACACACTGAACAAATATTGATTACTGTGATACGGTGGGAGAACTAACTTGATGTTTTGCGTTTCGATCGCACTTGTGCGGTTAGCAAGAGTCGCCACCGACTTTTATTTTATCCAAAAAGAAAGGTCAAAAAGCACAGGAAAGACCTTTCGAGATGATTCTCGGGTTCGGGGGGTAGATTATGAAAAGGGAAGATATTAGCACCCTTTTCATCCATGGTTTTCCATGGGCTCTTAGTTACTCGTTTAGATCACTTGCTTTCATTTGATTGTGTGCTTGTGGTGTGGGCTTTGAAAGTATTTTGAAAAATCTCTTTGTAATGGTTCTCGTCTCTATAAGAACGTATACAAAGTTTTGTTTCGAAAAATGGTTCAAAGATGTGTTTGTGAATCGTGTTTCAGAAAGTGTTTTGAAAAGATATTTTGCAATGGTTCTCGTCTCTATAAGAACGTATACAAAATGTTTTGTCTTTTTGAAAATGTTTTGAGATGAGGGTGTAGGTGTAAAAAGTTTTTGTCGTGAGCAAGCGAGTAACTAAGAGCGAATTTATCTACTCGAAAGGTCTTAAGTTGTTCTTTCTTCCTCCTTTTAATGGTGCTATCTAACCATTGATTTGGTAAGAAGCCCCATCGTTGGATGAGGAGGGACAGACGCGGGTCAATTTTACAATCATTGAAGGCAACTTTGTGAGACGCTTTAGCAATTTTCGTAAGGGACGAGATCGTTTTAATCGAAGGCAACATCGAGAGTTATCGAGGGACTACGATCTTTTTTATCGAAGGGTCATTGCTAGAGCGTCACATATTCGAGGGACATGATTGTATTTCCGAGGCAACGAGCGAGGTTACCCTAGAGGTGCGCGTGTGAGAAAGTGTGTTGGTTTCAAATTATTTTATTCTTTTATTAGGTCATCTAGCGATTGATTTTGAATCTTATCATACACGCCTAGTTACCATACAGTATATGAAAAACAGTAAATTGCGGGAATTGAAATTCTACACTATTACAAAGTATTCGGGAATGGGGGTACAATTGTTACAAATGGGGATGAATTAAATGAAAATAGCAATGTCCAAATATCAAATAATACAACCAAATCTAATTTTGTACGATTTAATAAAGCTATGACAATTCATGAAATAAAATCAACAAAGTATGAAATGAAATGTATTTACTTGAAAAGAGAAAAATAAAACTTATTCTAAAAAATTGATTAAATTGAAATCTCTATTTTTGTATTTTTATTAATTATGTAAAATCTAAAGAAAATAAATAAACTAAATTATTATT